ATTGATATTTTTTTGAAAATAGCCTACTATGATCAAAACCAAAAATGCTTTAAATTGCATTATAAAACAGATCTAGGTATTATTAATGATAAAGAATGCTAATATAGATATAAAATCGATATTTTTTTGAAAATAGCCTACTACGATCGATACCAAAAATGCTTTAAATTGCATTTTAAAACATATCTAGGTATTATAAATGATAAAGAATGCTAATAAAGATATAAAATCGATATTTTTTTGAAAAAAACCTACTATGATCAAAACCAAAAATGCTTTAAATTGCATTTTAAAACATATCTAGGTATTATAAATGATAAAGAATGCTAATAAAGATATAAAATTGATATTTTTTTGAAAATAGCCTACTATGATCAAAACCAAAAATGCTTTAAATTGCATTATAAAACAGATCTTGGTATTATAAATGATAAAGAATGCTAATATAGATATAAAATCGATATTTTTTTGAAAATAGCCTACTATGATCAAAACCAAAAATGCTTTAAATTGCATTATAAAACAGATCTTGGTATTATAAATGATAAAGAATGCTAATATAGATATAAAATCGATATTTTTTTGAAAATAGCCTACTATGATCGAAATCAAAAATGCTTTAAATTGCATTTTAAAACATATCTAGGTATTATAAATGATAAAGAATGCTAATATAGATATAAAATCGATATTTTTTTGAAAATAGCCTACTATGATCGATACCAAAAATGCTTTAAATTGCATTTTAAAACATATATAGGTATTATAAATGATAAAGAATGCTAATATAGATATAAAATCGATATTTTTTTGAAAATAGCCTACTATGATCGATACCATTTTAAAACATATCTAGGTATTATAAATGATAAAGAATGCTAATATAGATATAAAATCGATATTTTTTTGAAAATAGCCTACTATGATCAAAACCAAAAATGCTTTAAATTGCATTTTAAAACATATCTAGGTATTATAAATGATAAAGAATGCTAATATAGATATAAAATCGATATTTTTTTGAAAATAGCCTACTATGATCGAAATCAAAAATGCTTTAAATTGCATTTTAAAACATATCTAGGTATTATAAATGATAAAGAATGCTAATATAGATATAAAATCGATATTTTTTTGAAAATAGCCTACTATGATCGATACCAAAAATGCTTTAAATTGCATTTTAAAACATATATAGGTATTATAAATGATAAAGAATGCTAATATAGATATAAAATCGATATTTTTTTGAAAATAGCCTACTATGATCTAAAACATATCTAGGTATTATAAATGATAAAGAATGCTAATATAGATATAAAATCGATATTTTTTTGAAAATAGCCTACTATGATCAAAACCAAAAATGCTTTAAATTGCATTTTAAAACATATCTAGGTATTATAAATGATAAAGAATGCTAATATAGATATAAAATCGATATTTTTTTGAAAATAGCCTACTATGATCGAAATCAAAAATGCTTTAAATTGCATTTTAAAACATATCTAGGTATTATAAATGATAAAGAATGCTAATATAGATTTTTTTGAAAATAGCCTACTATGATCGATAACAAAAACGCTTTAAATTGCATTTTAAAACATATCTAGGTATTATAAATGATAAAGAATGCTAATATAGATATAAAATCGATATTTTTTTGAAAATAGCCTACTATGATCGATAACAAAAACGCTTTAAATTGCATTTTAAAACATATCTAGGTATTATAAATGATAAAAAAGCTAATATAGATATAAAATCGATATTTTTTTGAAAATAGCCTACTATGATCAAAACCAAAAATGCTTTAAATTGCATTATAAAACAGATCTAGGTATTATTAATGATAAAGAATGCTAATATAGATATAAAATCGATATTTTTTTGAAAATAGCCTACTATGATCGATAACAAAAACGCTTTAAATTGCATTTTAAAACATATCTAGGTATTATAAATGATAAAAAATGCTAATATAGATATAAAATCGATATTTTTTTGAAAATAGCCTACTATGATCGATAACAAAAACGCTTTAAATTGCATTTTAAAACATATCTAGGTATTATAAATGATAAAGAATGCTAATATAGATATAAAATCGATATTTTTTTGAAAATAGCCTACTATGATCAAAACCAAAAATGCTTTAAATTGCATTTTAAAACATATCTAGGTATTATAAATGATTAAGAATACTAATATAGATATAAAATCGATATTTTTTTGAAAATAGCCTACTATGATCGAAACCAAAAATGCTTTAAATTGCATTTTAAATTATATTTAGGCTTCTTCTGCATAGACTGTAATAATATAGTAATTCACTTAAATAGGATTGGTTCACCCGAAAGTAAAATAATCGGAACTATTGTTACACTATATGTAATTTAAACTATGCTCAAACGTCATTTTCAAATAGAACTCCCTGTATAACTCAAAAAAAAATAAATAAAATAAAGACAATCGAGGTTTATAAGTCCTGACACAAACTGTAGTTGGACTTATAATCCTCACATGCAGATCATAATTTCGGAAATCTATAAATATTTATAAATAAACTCACAGTGTAATTATGAGTAATCTCATTTCTATGGGTGTCAAACCCAAATCCTAAAACGTACCCAAAATGATTGAAAAAACATAGAAACTAGAGAATCCTAGAATCCCTTCCTTTAAAAGCTGAAACGTAATAAGTGGATTGGAGTTTAGCCAGAAATTTCTCCATAAAAAAAGGATTTTGACCCCAAAAACCTGCGTTGACTACGCCTCTGAATGTCTTTAACAAAGTGCTGAAGATTAGCGCTTAAGAATGATGTTTATGATGTAATTATCAATTCTATTCAAGCACCTCTCTTGGAAAAAAGTGAAACCTAGCATAGACAATTTGAAATTGCATGACAATTGTCTTGGTCAAGGGCAAGACTATGCTAGAATGCACCATTTTATCAACACTGGTTTTATGAGCTTTTATAATAATAAAATAGAAGTTTAGATAATTAACAGTAGAATTCCGATATTATCAGAACTGTTCTGATATGACGATGCTGAATATTCTGATGATTTTATCTGAACAGTTCTGTAATATTTTTTTTTTAAAAAGAATCGCAAAAATAAAATGACTGAAGAGTTCTGTAAAATATTCTGTTAATTTAACAGAACTTATCGGAATAGTTCTGAAAAATTCTGTTAAATTAACAGAACAAATCAGTCCAGCCTATGCAACACACCCACGAGTTTGCTAAGATTCAGAAATTTTAAAATTTTTTTATTACATTACATTTTATTGAATTAGAAAGCTACGATCAGACCAGTTTCTCTGACAATATCCTCCAAATTCTTAAATACTGTTCAATGTCCATTTAATCCAGTTAACTTTTCACTCATTTCCCACAACCACAATTGATCATCTTCTGGACCCTTGATTGTTGGTTCTATTTTCAAACATTTATCATAATAACAGCCTGAAACTTCAACTAAAGAAGGTTCAACAGCTAACATGACAGACGTCTGACACCCAACTTCAGGTGTGGCTGCAATATATTTTAAGGAAGGACGAATGAAAAACTTTAAAGCTGGATGAAGATAACGAAAAGCTTCTGTTTGAATTCGTCCTGGACCTAGTGCATTACAAACAACTCCAGTTCCTTCCAAACGTTTTGAAAGTTCTTTCATGAATAAAACATTGCAGAGCTTGCTGTTGCCATATGCTTTAAGTATTCCAGGAAAATGATTCTCACTGTTAATATTGTTCCTGTCAATACTTCCCATTTCATGAGATGATGATGACATTACAACAATTCTGCTAGGTGCACTAGCTTTGATTGAATCAAGCAACAAGTTTGTAAGTAGAAAGTGACCCAAATGATTGACTCCAAAGTTCAATTCAAATCCATCAGCTGTTCTCTTTAAAGGCGATAAGACACCCGCATTATTGATTAGAATATCCAATCGAGTTTCGAGTTCATGGAATTTACGAGAAAATTCTCTAATTGAATCAAAAGAAGCAAGGTCAAGTCCAATGCTAGCAAACAGAAATTTTTGAGTTCTTATTATTCGAACTTCGAATTTTTAAGGTTCTTATTTGTCGAAAATCGAATCTTCAAAGTTCTAATTTTTAAAAAAAAATTCGTTGTGAATTATTTTTTTTCGAGTAATTTGTAATTTTAGTGAACAGTTTTTATGATTAAGATAATCACTGTGATGAAATTGCATTCTTTAAATGTTTATGCTTTAAAAAACAGCTAGTTTAAAAAAAAATAAAAAGTAACGGACTTTCTTATTTTGAAATTTTAAAAAAATACCGCACGAAAATTTTGAAATTTTTTTGTTTGTAACGGACTCTGTTCTCTTTGCTAAGATTGGGGTCAAGTTTGAGGAAATAAAGTTGTTCATTCTTTGTCGATTCTTTAATTTCATTTAATGCTTCCATTGTTGCTTCTTCATTACGACACGCAAAGTAGATTTTACCACCTCGTTTTGCAAGTTCAAGGGCAGTTGCTTTGCCTATACCTGTGATACATCCAGTGATTATGACAATTTTACCATCGATTCTTGCATTGTCATTCACATATTTCTTGTTCTTGATTTCATATCTGTCAAATGTTTAAAGTTGAACTTTGTGATAAGATAAAAGGATTAAAAATTTAAAAATTTTACTTACGAGGTCATTTTTGTTTACTGTTTATTCGTCGAGTATCAAACTACATCTAAACACAGAAACAAAATAAATACGAGTGTAGCATAAGATGAGCGAATATTTCAGGAGAGCGTAAACAAATTTTTCTCTTTTTTAACTGTATGAACTGCAGCACAGTATTTTGATATTACTAAAATTTCTGCTGAGTAATTGTTGATCACAAAAGACATATGCATGTAAGTTTTCAACAAGCTATAGAGAATTTTTGGGAATGTTTTCAATGAGAGAATTCGGATTTGATTCAATTAAAATAAATTGGAATTAACTTCGAGCTCTAAAGTTTAAAAATCTCACTTTATTTTCCAAAAACCTTCGTCATTTCCTCACTTTTTTCCCACAACCAAGACTCATAATTTTGTTTCCTTAAAGTCGGTTCCTTGACTTTAAATTGAACATAATATTTTCCAGTGACATCAGAGAGCGATGGCTCAACAGCAAGCATAACAATCGGTTGACATCCAATTTCTGGTGAATTGTAAAAAAATGACTTTTTCAAAATATCAAAGAAGAATCTTTGGATGGAATTTAAGTATCGAGTAGCATCAGTGTCACTCAAAAATGGAGATAATGCATTGCAAACAACACCAGTTCCTTCTAATCGTTTTGAAAGCTCTCGCATGAATAAAATATTGCAGAGTTTGCTATTTTCATAAGCTTTGAAAGTTCCAGGAAAGTCACGTTCACAGTTGATGTCATCTCTGTTGATATTTGCATATTTATGTAAAGCTGATGAGACAATAATGATGCGGCTCGGGGCTCCAGCTTTCAAAGAATCAAGCAACAAGTTTGTAAGCAGAAAATGTCCCAAATGATTGACTCCAAAATTCAACTCAAATCCATCAGTAGTTCTATTAAAAGGTGCTAAAACACCAGCATTGTTAATAAGAATATCAAGTCGACTTTCAAGCTTTTTTTTGGAATATTTCACAAAAATCTCTGACTGAATCCAATGAAGCAAGATCAAGTTTGAGGAAGTAAAGCTGTTCATTTTTGGTAGATTCTTTGATTTTATTCAATGCTTGTAATGTTGCTTCTTCATTACGAGATGCCATATAGATTTTACCTCCTCTTTCAGCCAATTCATGAACTGTTGCTTTTCCAATTCCAGTATTGCATCCAGTTACAATGACAACTCTTCCGTCAATTCTTGCTGCGTCATTTATATACATCCTCTTTTTAATTTCATATCTGTTGATATATTGAAGTTAAGAATCTGAAATTCATGTAAAAATTTATTACTTACGAAGCCATAGCTGTATATTATGAAAGCAGAAGGAACTTAAATATTACTGTTCATACAATCTATGTTTGTGAGAAATCACGCCAAATTTGAGAGAATTGCCAAAAATTTTTCTCTCGTATTTTGAATGGTATGCATATCATTCAAGGTTGTTTATGTTGATAGAATGAAAATATTGCGTGATCAAAATATGAAGCTGTTCTTTACAGTTCATTTATTAGTTCAAAAACTTTTGGTCTTACATAAATTATTTAAATAAAAAATCAATAAAGTCGTCTGCTTTATTATTCATTAAGTTTAGCTAGTTCCACACTTTTCTGCCACAACCATGACTCATTGACTTCTCCCTTAATTGATACATCCTTCTTATTAAACTCAGAGTAATAATTTCCTGCAACTTGTGAAAATGAAGGTTCGACAGCAAGCAAAACCGTTGACTGACATCCAACTTCTGGGGTACTGTCTGTGATTAATTTGATAGTATTAAGCATAAAGTTGACAATCGAATTGAAGCCTGTAATTGACCCCGTATCAACGGATCCAGGACATAATGCATTGACAGTAATTCCAGTTCCTTCCAAACGTTTTGATAGTTCCTTCATAAACATTATGATGCAAAGCTTACTATTGGAATATGCTTTAAATGGCCCTGGGAAACTTTTTTCACTATTGATATTGTCTCTCTTAAGGCTTGCTGTTTTATAGATGTTAGATGACAACATGATGATTCGGCTTAGTGCACATGCTTTTAATAAATCCAGCAACAAGTTTGTCAGGAGAAAATGCCCCAAATAAGAAGTTGCTAGATTCATTTCAATACCATCGGATGTCCTTTCAAAATGAGCTAAGACACCTGCATTGTTGATTAAAATATCCAGTCGACTTTCCAGTTCATGAAATTTTCTCGAAAATTCTCTTACAGACTCAAAGGAAGCGAGATCAAGTTTGAGGAAGTAAAGTTGTTCATTATTTGTCAAATCCTTAATTTCATCAATTGCTGCCAAAGTTGCTTCTTCATTCCGACACGCAAAGTAAATTTTACCGCCTCGTTTTGCTAATTCATGAGCTGTTGCTTTACCGACTCCTCTATTGCATCCAGTAATGATTACAACTTTTCCATCGATTCTTGCACCATCATTAATGTACATCTTCTTCTTAATCTCGTAACTGTGGATAAATAAGAATCTTTAGTCTGTTGATTAAGGTTCAAAAAGCTACTCACGGTGCCATGATTATTTAATGTCCAGACCAAAAAATTGAAATACATCTACAGACATTGATATATCACACGCAAATGGTAAATGACCACGAAGTATGTAAATAAGTCAACCAAACTTTTTAAGAGAGAGTCTAAACTTTTTTCTCTCTTCTTCATAACATTTTCGTCAGTGACACAATTTTAAGAGAGTTTAATGGATACAATTTATATAAGAGCACTCACTTATGACGTCCAGGGGGGGGGGGGGGGGGGGGTCAGAAGTAAAAGAACAATAGAAATTCCAAAATTTGAGAGAGTTGCCGGTGCTTATGCTATCTCGATTTTGCGAAACAGCACAGCTTGAATTTTGTGTTTACAATTAAGTAGTTCCATAATACTTGTAAACAGATGATTTACGTTTTTTAGTAAAAGAGTTTTATCAGTAATTTTTATGTTTATCATTTTATATATTTTAAACCTATTTAAGGTTGCGAACCTAAAGCAGATTTCAACACTACTTGCCCTAGTCTTAGATTTTCGATTCTGTAGTCAGTTGATCAGTTCCACTATCTTAGAAATTTTTAAAAAATTTATACAAAAATTCAATTTTCAATGTATTTAAAATTTATTTATTAAAAATATATAGCATATCAATATATAAGAACTTCTGTAAAATAAAATTCAGTGCTTAACTAATCTGTAAATTTGTGCTTAGTAATTCGTTCCGCTTAATTCTTGACATCCATCACTGTTCATTTAATTTAGTCAATTCCACACTCTTATCCCAAAGCCATTCCTCATAGTTCTGTCTTCCAATTGATGGTTCTGTTTCCTTCATCTGGACATAATACTTTCCTGTAACATCAGCAAATGTTGGCTCGACAGCAAGCATGATTGAAGTCTGAGTACCAATTTCAGGTGAATTGTAGAACAGTCTTTGCATTGGTTTAAAAAAGAACTTAAGGACAGGATTTAAATCCCGAGTAGCTTCAGTATCAACAGGTCCTGGACATAATGCATTGACAACAACACCTGTTCCTTGTAGTCTTTTAGATAGTTCGCGGACAAAAAGAATATTGCAGAGCTTACTATTCGCATACCCCTTCCACGTACCAGCAAAATTCTTCTCACTATTAATGTCTTCCTTATCTAGACTAGCTATTCTATGTAGTGACGATGAAACCACAACAATGCGGCTCGGTGCACTTGTTTTCAATAAATCAAGCAACAAATTTGTAAGTAAAAAGTGACCCAAATGATTGACTCCAAAGTTCAATTCAAATCCATCAGCTGTTCTCTTTAAAGGCGATAAGACACCCGCATTATTGATTAGAATATCCAATCGAGTTTCGAGTTCATGGAATTTACGAGAAAATTCTCTAATTGAATCAAAAGAAGCAAGGTCAAGTTTGAGGAAATAAAGTTGTTCATTCTTCGTCGATTCTTTAATTTCATTTAATGCTTCCATTGTTGCTTCTTCATTACGACACGCAAAGTAGATTTTACCACCACGTTTTGCAAGTTCAAGGGCAGTTGCTTTGCCTATACCTGTGTTACATCCAGTGATTATGACAATTTTACCATCGATTCTTGCATTGTCATTCACATATTTCTTGTTCTTGATTTCATATCTGTCAAATGATCAAAATTGAAACTTTGTGATAAGATAAAAGGATTAAAAATTTAAAAATTTTACTTACGAGGTCATTATTGTTTACTGTTTATTCGTCGAGTATCAAACTACATCTAAACACAGAAACAAAATAAATACGAGTGTAGCATAAGATGAGCGAATATTTCGGGAGAGCGTAAACAAATTTTTCTCTTTTTTAGCTGTATGAACTGCAGCACAGCATTTTGATATTTCTAAAATTTCTGCTGAGTAATTGTTGATCACAAAAGACATATGTATGTAAGTTTTCAACAAGCTATAGAGAATTTTTGGGAATGTTTTCAATGAGAGAATTCGGATTTGATTCAATTAAAATAAATTGGAATTAACTTCGAGCTCTAAAGTTTAAAAATCTCACTTTATTTTCCAAAAACCTTCGTCATTTCCTCACTTTTTTCCCACAACCAAGACTCATAATTTTGTTTCCTCAAAATCGGTTCCTTGACTTTAAATTGAACATAATATTTTCCAGTGACATCAGAGAGCGATGGCTCAACAGCAAGCATAACAATCGGTTGACATCCAATTTCTGGTGAATTGTAAAAAAATGACTTTTTCAAAATATCAAAAAAGAATCTTTGGATGGAATTTAAGTATCGAGTAGCATCAGTGTCGGTCAAAAATGGAGATAATGCATTGCAAACAACACCAGTTCCTTCTAATCGTTTTGAAAGCTCTCGCATGAATAAAATATTGCAGAGTTTGCTATTTTCATAAGCTTTAAAAGTTCCAGGAAAGTCTCGTTCACAGTTGATGTCATCTCTGTTGATATTTGCATATTCATGTAAAGCTGATGAGACAATAATGATGCGGCTCGGTGCACCAGCTTTCAAAGAATCAAGCAACAAGTTTGTAAGAAGAAAATGTCCCAAATGATTAACTCCAAAATTCATCTCAAATCCATCAGATGTTCTTCTTAAAGGAGACAAAACACCAGCATTGTTGATTAATATGTGCAACTTCTTCTCATGCTTCCGAAATTTCTTGCAAAAATTTCGTACAGAATCTAAAGAAGATAAGTCAAGTTTGAGGAAGTAAAGTTGTTCATTTTTCGTCGATTCCTTAATCTCATTAATTGCTGTCATTGTCTTTTCTTCATCTCGATTTGCAAAATAGATTTTCCCACCTCGTTTGGCTAGTTCTTGGGCTGCTGCTTTGCCAATTCCTGAACTACATCCTGTTATTATGACAACTTTACCATCGATTCTTGCATTGTCATTTATATACATTTTGTTTTTGATCTCGAATCTGGGAGGAATTGAGTTTCATACCATTGGTAAGTGATAAGAAGTAAGAGAAGGTTTACTTACGATGCCATATTGGTCTGATTGAAGTACAGATGATTTAGAATCAAATTTATAATCTTTTTGAAAATTAAATTTTAAAATCAATGAAATCTTTGTTTTATTTTGTTTTAAATGAACAGCTGCAATATTAATCAATGTTACCAATCAATCTACAGAAATACAGACATCAAATCCCCATCCAATCATGACTAATTGAGTCTAATTAATTCAAAATTCTTCACAGCTTATTGCAAATGTGCTTAAAGTCTTGAATTCTTGTAAAAGTAGACCCCAAAGCATTCATTTTGGTTCCATTTTTGCTGACAAATACAAAAGTCACGTCATTACTTAAATTCTTCTTTGTACTTATCCACCACGTGTTTCAATTTTCATGACCTTTTAAAGATTCTTCAACTCTCAATCGTCAACTAATGTTCATTCATTTTTAATGCCTTAATCAATCATTGCATTTACGATTTATTTCCAAAGTCATTCTAGACACAACATTGTTAAAGTCACAGCTTCCTTTATGTTTAAAATATTGACTGGAGTCGTCAGACGAACTAAGAATAAGATTGAATTTGAATAATGGTTATTGACTTTAAAGTTGTTTTTTATGTGGAATTCAGGATTTTTGTAATCTTTTTAGATTCGATTACTTACCAGTTTGTAATAATGTGATTGGAATGGATGAAAGAGTTCAGTAAGTTCATTAAACAAAAAGCATTTTACAGCTAAGCTTCATACATTTTGTGTATTCATGTAATAAAGCTTAAAAATGCAAAGTTGTTGAATAAAAAAAATCAAATTTGCAAATTTAAATTGATTGAATTTTGAAATTTTCATAACGGTTTTAAAAAATTTGAATTTCCATATTGGATAATTTTCTAGTCGCTCTCATTTTATTATCCACGCTCTCTTTTTGTGGATTTGTACTAAAAAGTCCTTTTTCGAAACTCAAAAGAGAATCAATTCCTCTAGACTTGCCACTCTCCTAAGACTTTTTTCCTCATTCATTCATAAACGAAGAATACGATAAAAAAAGAAGGAAGACAAAAGAGATAAAAAAGCAAATCGCATCATTAGAGTTGTAAATACTTTGTAGAAAATTTTGGTATGCGGTCCGAGGGTAATTATCAGGAGCCTTAATATTTTAACGGTTCCTTTTATATATATACTTACATTCCACATCCCACGAGAAGCTTTAAATGAGATCATTTTTTTACTTTTTTCATTCGTTCCACCAACAAAAAAAGGAAAGAAAAGAATGAATGAACAGAAATAATGTTGCAAGATTGTGAGCCTTATTTAATCCCCATTTAAATAATTTTTCATCTCTACTTTTCTCATCTCTTTTTCGTCATTTTTCCTTTTTTTATGTTGTTGGTGTTCTTCGTGCCTTTTTTTATCGTATAAAATTTATCTACATAAATTATTAGCTAAGAATATTAGATACTTAATGATTACCTCATCTTTTAATTATTTGGGATAATGCAATAATTGACTGCTTCGGGATATGCACAGAAATGAAATTTTTAATAGATCTATGTCTGGAACTTTTCAATATACCTATCCTATCGTTAATTTTTGGATCTAGAGTTAAAGTCTCTTTTAAAAATGTCTCATCTCCTAGCTATAGCTATTGCATTTGCCGAGACATCTTTTTTTTTGAAGACTGAGGAAAGACTGTAAACTATTGGAAATCCATCATTGGTCAACAACCCCAAATAATGTAAAGAGACGTCATACTACCATTCCTTATAATCACAATTGCTTCTGCTGGTTCTACTGCTTAATTTTGTTACAGAAAACTTCTTGATGATTTCACGGATAATTGACTTGTGCCTAAAATATATACACATTTATATCTTTATATCATGAGGCGTTTTTTGCAGTATGAACCTTTTATTTTCTCTTCTGTTTTGTTTGCTTTTGTTCCTTGTTAATGGACGAAAGTTTTTTCATCTTAAATGATTGACTTTCTCACAAATAAGAATATTTATTGGATCCTTTTTTTGATATATAAAAAAAGCCCTTCCATATATGCTTAGCCTCGTGCAATTTTTCTTCTCCTTTCCATTCTTCTGGTTCTGTATGGAAAGGTTTGATCATTATGAGAAGTTAAAAACACACAAAAGAGGATAGATTTATATTTGTCAATTAATGCATTATAGAAGCACTGAACTGTCGAAGATTAATTAGCACACATCCGATGCCATACATACTGTTATATAAATGGTCGTCATGCTCCTTTTTTATTATGATATTTATTTCATACAATAGCTGAATAAATGAAATGTTATGTTATCGCTTATAACAATTTAGATTAGAAACATTATAATAATTTGCAGACTTTCACAAACTGCAATGCAGTTAAGTTTGTGCCAATTCTATACGGAATAAGTTAGAGAATTATAGATTTTTTTTCATTGTCGATGCCTTAAAGCGAATTCATTTCTAAGCAAAATGTGATATGAGTCTTAGAAATGCTTCTTCAACGTAGTCTAGCATCTAAATTGAGCTGATTGTGTGAAAAAAATGCTTGCCTTTCAATTCTGAAATGAAATTTGTATGTTGTGAACTCAAAAATTCTTTAAACAACCCAATTTAGAACATCAAACCATTGAATTCAGATTATTTCGTCTATTAAACAACAATTTGATCTATTTACAGGGTGGGGATTTAAATCATAAATCAAAATCAAAATCATTTTGCAATGATTTGAAAAATGATTTTTGATTTAAATCATTTTACCCAAGTGATTTATTTTTGATTTATGATTTAAATCATTTTGTATGGAAGATTTATTTGTGATTTATGATTTAAATCATTTTGTATGAAAGATTTATTTGTGATTTATGATTTAAATCATTTTGTATGAAAGATTTATTTTTGATTTATCATTTAAATCATTTTGTATGGAAGATTTATTTGTGATTTATGATTTAAATCATTTTGTATGAAAGATTTATTTGTGATTTATGATTTAAATCACATTGTATGGGGATTTTTTTTGGGATTTTAAATCACTTGAAGGTGAAAATTTGTTTGGGAATTTTCAGAAGATTATTAAAAAACATTAATCATTAATCATGGATATCCTTTCTGTCTTTTGAATATTGTAGTTTGCAGATGTTGGTATAGCTCTAAAAGATAAAGCATGAATGGATCTAGCATCATATGAGGAACTAGTCACTTCCAGTCCCTTTACAGCATTTTTTTGATAAGTTTTCATTGTCAAAGAGGTATACGTTTGTATTTCTTAGCCAGAGGAGATTTAAATCATGAATCAAAAATAAATCACTTGGGTAAAATGATTTAAATCAGAAATCATTTTTCAAATCATTCTTCATTGAGATTTAAATCAAAAATCGCAAAAATCACAATTTGATTTGTGATTTTGATTTAAATCGCAAAAAACTCCCCCACCCTGCCTATTTAAAGCTCTAATTGGCTTGGAATTATCAATAAATTATAATTTAAACAAATTTTTTGCTTTTTGAAAAACCTAAAGTTCAAAAATCAAAAATTTCAAAGTTCATAAGTTCAAATTTCATTTTTCGGTTAAAACAACAACAATAACACTGCTTTAATTAATTTATATTAGCGACATGTGTAGAATAACATGAGATTGATTATTGAGATAGAGCTAATTTGTATTCTCTAGTGACTAAATTAATTAATCAACGAGACAAATTAAGATTAAATGACATATTTACATAAAATACATACACGAGTGAATTGGATTGGATAGAAAGACTAAAAGATTTTTTTTCCAAATCAGAAATTGAAATGAAAAAAAAGGGAATGTATGTGACACTGGCACATAACAATTAAATAGAACAAGATGATTATCAACATTCAATGGCATCAAGAGGCTTTTTTTTTATGTAGCTGTATAAACAGTTTGCGTATATGAAGGGATAATAAAAATAAAAATAACAAAAATAGTTTTGTAGATGACAATAACAATAGTTGAGCATATTGGCATAATGATATTGAATTCAATAAATAGAAGCAATGAGCTTATTGGAAATACTTTTCATTCCTTATAAGGAAAAGCCTAGGCTGGGGGTTAAATCTGTAGAATTATTACCCCCCCCCCTCCCCTCTCCTGCTACGCTTCTATTTTATTCTTTCGTTTTATAGACAGCACTTGTCATCATAATTTTTTTCATCCTTTCATGCCTTCTTCTCTTGATGTCTTCGTATTGATATTTGTCAGTTCATTTTACAATAAGCTTGACGTATCTTAGTCTCGGTACAAGAACAAACAATAGAAAATATAAATTGAAATGGAGTATGAAGCAGGCATAAAGTCTAATCAATAATGTGCTCCATTAGTTAAGTTGTCAAACTTTTCTGGTTGCAAAAAATTCCTAAAATACACGAAAAAAGAGAGAGAGTAAAAGCATGTCAAAGTCATAGTCATGTTTCTCTATATAATAAAATTAATCTGGTAACTTTTTCTTTGCTTCTTTTTTTTCAGAAGAAAATTTCTACAAAAAATAAAGCTACGGATGATGGTGAGTATGTATTTAAGTCAGAGAAATATTTGATTTGGGGTAACGTACTGTAATTATGATGTCTACATGTCCATTTTTTGGATTGACATTTATATTTTTTTGATTAACTATAATACTTGTACCTTTATCTTACTTTTGTGTATAAAAAGAATCACGAGTTTAAGAAAAAGTTTCTTATTTTGACTATTGAATGAACTCAGGTCAGCTTTAAGTGATTGAATTTCTTGGGAAATTTAAAAGAGCAATTGAGTGATTTATTAACCAAAATTTAAGTTTTAAAAAAGTTTTTGGTTATGTAACTTTTCTTTTGTCTGGAAAGTTTACATTTCAAAAGTTAGGCATGATTTCTTAAAGAATTCTTAATATTCTGAGGTAGGTTTGCATCAGACCAAACAATAACAAAAGAATTGCTTGAGGCTACATCAATATTCAACGAAAATATGAAGAAAAGGTAAATAAATTGTTCAATTTTCGATTGCTGAAGAAAGCAGAAAAATAACAGAATACTCAATTCTATTATAATTCTCGTAAACCCGAAGAGAATTTAATGAAGCAGTATCTCCTACTGCAACTTCCAATTAATTTCCATTTTTTAAGAATCAAAAAAAAAACTTTTTGATTTTTCCTTCGTTTGTTTACTAAAGAATAATTTAAAAGTTTACAAACATTCTTGAGCCATAAGAAAATCAGCATGAAGTATCTTAATGAACCTTCGGCAATAAAAAAGATAAATAAACCATACCTGGAAGAATATTTAAAAAATTCAATTTCAATTTGAAAGAGAAAGTTAAAAAATATTTTTATTCAATAATATTTTGATTTGAAGTACCTTCAAGGCATATTCTATGAAAGTTTCCGTCAGTAATCAAAAAATATTTAATCTACAATATGAATTCAGTTCAGAGTGAATAAATGTGCAAGGTAAGGGAAATTTAGATTAAAGATGCTAGGGGTGACAGTAAATGATGTGACCATAAAAAGGGATTCAAGAAAATTATAATTTTTAAAGTTTTGTAACAAATAACAAGTCGAGTCTCAATTCTGTTCTAGTGTTGCTTTAGATAATGTTGATGAACATCATTTTCGAATAACTCAAAAGCTCGATCAGCATAGTCTGTGGGAGTAAAGATATCATTTTAGTTCAAATAATGATCATAATCATAATCATAGATAAATTATTCCACATCCCCAACACCCCCAAAAAATGCGTTGTCAACTCTCATCAATTCACGTAAAATTTCCATTATTTACTTTTCGATATTGATATATTTTTGAT